TAAATAACTGAGAGATCACTGAAGAAATCAAAGAGGAAGTCAAAAAATACCTAGAAACAAATGACAATGAAAACACGACAGCCCTAAACTATGGGATGCAGCAAAAGCAGTTCTAAGAGGGAGGTTTATAGCAATAGGATCCTACCTTAAGAAACGAGAAACATCTCAAACAAACAACCTAACCTTAAACCTAAAGCAATTAGTGAAAGTAGAACAAAAAAAAAAAACCCCACAAAGTTAGCAGAAGGAAAGAAATCATAAAGATCGGATCAGACTAAATGAAAAAGAAATGAAGGAAACAATAGCAAAGATCAATAAAACTAAAAGCTGGTTCTTTGAGAAGATTAAAAAAACCTGATAAACCATTAGCGAGATTCATCAAGGAAAAAAGGGAGAAGACTCAACAGAATTAGAAATGAAAAAAGAGAAGTAACAACTGACACTGCAGAAATACAAAGGATCATGAGAGATTACTACAAGTGACTCTATGCCAATAAAATGGACAATCTGGAAGAAATGGACAAATTCTTAGAAAAGCAAAACCTTATGAGACTGATCCAGGAAGAAAGAGAAAATATGAACAGACCAATCACAAGCATTGAAATTGAAACTGTGATTAAAAATCTTCCAACAAACAAAAGCCCAGGACCAGATGTCTTCGCAGGCAAAATCTGTCAAACATTTAGAGAAGAGGTAACATCTATCCTCTCAAACTCTTCCAAAATATAGCAGAGGAAGGAACACTCCCCAACTCATTCTACAAAGTTACCATCACCCTGATGACAAAACCAGACAAAGATATCACAAAAAAAGAAAACTACAGGCCAATATCACTGTTGAACATAGATGCATAAATCCTCAACAAAATACTAGCAAACAGAATCCAACCGCACATTAAAAGGATCGTACACCGTGATCAAGTGGGGTTTATCCCAGGAATGCAAGGATTCTTCACGATATGCAAATCAATCATTGTGATACACCATATTAACAACTTCAAGGATAAATACCATATGATCATCTCAGTAGATGCAGAAAAAGCTTTTGACAAAATTCAACACCTATTTATGACAAAAACTCTCCAGAAAGTAGGCATAGAGGGAACCTACCTCAACATAATGAAGGCCATATATGACAAACCCATAGCCAACATCGTTCTCAGTGGTGAAAACTGAAACCATTTCCTCTAAGATCAGGAACAAGACAAGGTTGCCCACTCTCACCACTGTTATTCAACATAGTTATGGAAGTTTTAGCTACAGCGTTCAGACAAGAAAAAGAAAGAAAAGGAATCGAAATTGGAAAAGAAGAAGTAAAACTGTCACTGTTTGCAGGTGACATGATACTATACATAGGCAATCCTAAAGATGCTACCAGAAAACTACCAGAGCTAATCAATGAATATGGTAGAGTAGCAGGATATAAAATAAATGCACAGAAATCTCTTCCATTCCTATACACTAATGATGAAAAAATCTGAAAAAGAAATTAAGGAAACACTCCCACTCACCATTGAAACAAAAAGAATAAAATACCTAGGAATAAACCTACCTAAGGAGACAAAAGACCTATATGCAGAAAAGTATAAGACACCAATGAAACAAATTAAAGATGATACAAACAGATGGAGAGATATACCATGTTCTTGGATTGGAAGAATCAACATTGTGAAAATGACTATACAAAGCAATCTACAGATTCAGTGCAATCCCTATCAAACTACCAGTGGCATTTTTCACAGAACTAGAACAAAATATTTCACAATTTATATGGAAACACAAAAGGCCCTGAATAGCCAAAGCAATCTTGAGAAAGAAAAATGGAGCTGGAGGAATCAGGCTCCTGGGCTTCAGACTATACAACAAAGCTACAGTATTCAAGACAGTATGGTACTGGCACAAAAACAGAAATATAGATGAATGGAACAGGATAGAAAGCCCAGAAATAAACCTACACACATATGGTCACCTTATCTTTGATAAAGGAGGCGAGAATATACAATGGAGAAAAGACAGCCTCTTCAATAAGTTGTGCTGGGAAAACTGGACAGCTACATGTAAAAGAATGAAATTAGAACACTTCCTAACACCATACACAGTAATAACCTCAAAATGGATTAAAGACCTAAATGTAAGGCCAGACACTAGAAAACTCAGAGGAAAACATAATCAGAACACTGTATGACATATCTCACAGCAAGATCCTTTTTGACCCACCTCTTAGAGTAATGGATATAGAAACAAAAGTAAACAAATGAGACCTAATGAAACTTCAAAGCTTTTGCACAGCAAAGGAAACCATAAACAAGATGAAAAGTCAACCCTCAGAATGGGAGAAAATATTTGCAAATGAAGCAACTGACAAAGGATTAATCTCCAAAATATACAAGCAGCTCGTGCAGCTCAGTATCAAAAAAACAACCCAATCCAAAAAATGGGCAGAAGACCTAAACAGACATTCGTCCAAAGAAGATATACAGATTGCCAACAAACACGTGAAAGGATGCTCAACATCAGTAATCATTAGAGAAATGCAAATCAAAACTACAGTGAGGTATCACCTCACACCCGTCAGAATGGCCATCACCCAAAAATCTACAAACAATAAATGCTGGAGAGGGTGTGGAGAAAAGAGGACCCTCTTGCACTGTTGGTGGGAATGTAAATTCATACAGCCACTCTGAAGAACATTATGGAGGTTACTTTAAAAACTAAAAGTAGAACTACCATATGACCCAGCAATCCCACTGCTGGCCATATACCCTGAGAAAACCATAATTCAAAGAGAGTCATGTACCACAATGTTCATTGCAGCACTATTTACAATAGCCAGCACATGGAAGCAACCTAAGTGTCCATCGACAATGAATGGATAAAGAAGATGTGGCACATATGTACAATGGAATATTACTCAGTCATAAAAAAACGATATTGAGTTATTTGTAGTGACACAGATGGACCTAGAGATTGTCATACAGAGTGAAGTAAGTCAGAAAGAGAAAAACCAATACTGTATGCTAACACATACATATGGTATCTAAAAAAAATCTGATGAATCTGGGGACAGTACAGGAATAAAGACGCAGACCTAGAGAATGGACTTGAGGACGTGGGGAGGGGGGAAGGTAAGCTGGGATGAAGTGAGAGAGTGGCATGGACATACATACACTACCAAATGTAAAATAGATAGCTAGTGGGAAGCAGCCACATAGCACCGGGAGATCAGCTCAGTGCTTTGTGTCCACCTAAAGGGGTGGGATAGGGAGGGTGGGAGGGAGATGCAAGAGGGAGGGGATATGGGGATATACATATGCATATAGCTGATTCACTTTGTAATACAGCAGAAACTAACACAACATTGTAAAGCAATTATACTCCAATTAAGATGTTTAAAAATATAAAAATAAAAAGCCCAAAGAAATGAGTGCTTAAAATATATATATATATGGCTATGTCTTCCTCTTATTTTGTTTGTCCTCAATAAAATCTAGACCTTGAGTTACTGGTTTCACAGAATGTGACCTTATATTTAAACCTACCCAGGCCACTATTGGGAATGATAGGGAGGGATTTATATCACTCGCTAATTTCTGGAATTTAAAAAAGAAGCCTAGTTATCAAGGAAATTCAAATTAAAATAATAATATTTTAATCCCAAACATTTAAATATTAAGAATTGGAAAAAATATAATGAAATTAGTAGTTTTATGCTTTGTAGGTGAGGAGGTAATTTGGTACACTTTCTGGAAGATATTTTAGCAGTAGGTCTTGAGAGCCTTAAATATGTTTTGTATGCTTTAGCCTGGTGAGTCTACCTCTAGGAATTTATCCCAAGAAATATAATCCTAGGTAGTACATAAAGATGTATTACAGGAATGTCTTTTGCAGAGAATTTCTGTCATAAAACCAGATTTTTGTTACCATAAGTAATAATATATTATTATAAAAACATAAATATTTAACAATGAGAAATTGCTAAATGAATTGTGCTATACCCACATAATGGTATTGAAAAATACATTGTTGAGAATTATAGGATAAATGCTAACGTTAAATAAAATAAGGAGATAAGAAGGACTATTTAAGCATGATTTTGCTAAAATTTTATATTTATAAATATAGAGAGGGAAAATTACATAGAAGGGAAATATTCTACAATATGCTAGTTGAAGGAATCCTTGTCTAGTGACATTATGGATTATTCTATTTCTATTTTTCCTTATTTTTCTACAGTGAGTATGTCACCCTTTTATAACCAAAAGAAACACGTATATGCTTGAGAATGACTAATAAAAATCCCACAAACATAGCCCCTTCAGATTAGTCATCAAGGATATAGCATATTACTTGTTATTATTAGCCACTTCTCACTGTAATTGCTTGAGCCTTCGTCTGGTGTCTCTTAAAATCAATCACATTTGTTGGCTGTTTTACGTCAGTTTGAGATTTTAGCTTAGCCAGTTCTTGCATGATTAAGATTGTTTTGCTACATCAGTGGTGACCCACAAAGGGTCTCTGTTACTTAAAGCCATTTCTGCCATTGATATTGATAAAACTTTTTTTTTAAGTACTTTAATCAACCAGAAATACCATTACCTTTGTAATATTTAAACCAAGAAATTATAGCTATCAGACTCTTGTAATAAACAGTTTGCAAGCAAACAAGCCTTCAGTTACCTCTACCAATATTAATCATATACAAATAAACAGATACAGAAATGTATAAGATGCCAAACACATGCTCTTAAAACCCGCATGAAGTAGGTATGCATAGATGATGCCCAGGACTTCCCTGGTGGTCCAGTGGTTAAGACTCCACGCTTCCACTGCAGGGGGCATGAATGGGTTTAATCCCTGGTCAGCAAACGAGGATCCCACATGCCACATGGTGCACCCAAAAAAGTAGAAAAAAAAGGAAAAAAGAAGATGCCCTAAATATATGTGACTGGCTAACACCAGCCTTGTGAGTTGATATGTTGGTTTTCTTTTTCTGCCTTACAGACAGAGCTATGACATTCAGATCGTGGCGCTGGTAAACCAGACAGGCTTCAGGTCTGGGAACACCCTCGATTTAAAGAATCCTTTCTTTAGGTAAGAAATGCCCTCATCCATTTCACACCTATGTATATAGGATCTCAATTGACCATATGACTAGGTAAAGAGGTTTAGAATAATTCCATCTTTCCTAAGAGGAGAAAAAGCATCTATTCTTCTCTAAGGAGACTTGGATCCCGGTATGGAGTTGAGTGTTTTATGTTCCATTACATAGAATTCAATATAGAACAATCTCATCCTGATACAGCGCAGGAGAGTCCTACAAAGTGAATTCTCCTTACAGCTGAGCTCTAAAGAGCTGTGTGACCTCAGGTAAAGTCACTTTCCTTCTGGCATTCAGTTTTCTCACCTGCAAAATGTAGAGTTAAAGATGACCTTCTTTGCCCTTCATTCGCTATGGGATGATTTTACATAGCAGTTATTCCAATACACCTAAAACACGAGTCCATTTAAAGTAAATTTTTTTAGATGTTTTTTGAGAGCATGTACGTCAGGACATAATTTTCTTTGGCAGCTGTACAGATTTTGTCTGATATGAAGAACTTGCCACAGTGGGTCGGATACAACAGATGTTTCTGGAAAATCTCCCCATTTGTATAGCTATTCAATATGAGCCAATTAAATATACACACATGAAATCAACCACACAAAACCACTGGACACTGTCACTCTTGACTTTCTTAATAGAAAGTGACTTTTCTCTCATATTTTAATGTCTCCCCAAGGCTTTAATTCAAAGCATCATGTCTGTATAGTATTAAAAAGCTTAAAGAAAAGAGGAAACTCAGGAAACCACACCAAGAATTCTTTGGCCAAGATGGGAAAATGAAATGTTGACCTTGAAGCAGGGGAGGCAAGGCTGTAATTGTATATGTTGTATGTAGGCTATCGCACATGGTGTGACTCTTTGAAACCTATTGCCAGTTAGGGATATGGATCTGTCTCGAATTCCAAGGGAAGAGAGAAGTCCTCGCCCCCATCCCCTTGCACGATCCTGCCATGTTAAGCAAAGGGCACAGGTTTTGGCCTTGGAGAGAACAGGCTGACTACTTACCAGTACTATTGAACCTGCCTAGCCCTCAGTTTTCTCATCTGTAAGATGGGATAAACAGCATACCTCACCAGGCGATTGCAAGGATCTATAACATGTCCAAGTACGTAGTAGTTCACATAACTGGTGCTCAATAAATGCCACTTTGTTTTCTTCCTGTTCTCAGCTCACCAGCTCTCTCTCTGAGTAAATAGATGTTGACTTGTAGTTCATTCCAAACAGAATCATTTGGGCTTTGGAAAAGAAAATGAATTCTTATAGGGTTTCAGAAAACCCACTTTTGAATGAAAGAACCACATAAGCTAGTAACTCTGAGTCCCCCTTCCACTTCATCGCACAAGACCAAGGTTTGAACCAGAAAACCACGGAGAGAGGGCCCGGGCCTTGGCCATCCCCTGCTTCGCACGAAGACGTAAACACAGTAGCCACAGGTCAAAGTGAGAGTGTCAAAGGTCTGCTGATGCCTAAGATGGCTACAGCCCTGTCAAACAGATGGACAGTGGAGCAAGGGGCAGATACCTTTCCTTTTCCCCTTTTCCCTCACTCAGCAGCAAGTCTGATTCATGTATTTAATTAAGCAAATGAGGTGCTTGAAAATGTTAACTTCCCTGGGGAATCACAGATCTTGACTATATTTCTTCACCATCCCTTCCTGATGTCTAGGCCTCAGTATCCTCAGTGGAGATGTGGGCTAACTGACAGAATTTTTGACAAGTACTTGGTATGTAGTAGGTGCTTAGTTAAATGTTCAGCAGTGTTAATACCCTTCTCCTCCTCCCCCACATGCAACTCCAGTTTGCTATTGCAGCATCCGAGAAGCAGCAGCCCAAGGGAGAGAGAGAGAGAGAGAGAGAGAGAGAGAGAGAGAGAGAGAGAGAGTGTGTGTGTGTGTGTGTGTGTGTGTGTGTGTGTGTGTGTGTGTGTGTGTGTTGAATGTGTGTATTTGGGAGAATTAAAATAAATGGCATTACCCAGAGGAACAATTGGTAATACAGCCTCAGAATAACTTTCTCTCCATTTGCTTTTTATTCCGCCCATTTTTAGGGCACAGTAGGCCCTACTGACACACAAAAGCAGAAGATTCATTTTGGGGTTTTGGCAGATCCCCAATACCGTCTGGCCACCAGTGACATGCTAAAAACATGTCAAGATCAACAAATTAATTGCTGAACACATGAGCATCCACCATTACACATAATGTGAAAGTTTCTCTTTCTCTTTGGGCAGGGTCGGGGGCACTTTTATTTTGACTATTAATTATTTTAAAGTAATTTGAAAATAAAAGAAGAGCTAACAGCTGTTCCTAAAAGTGAGCAAAGGCACAAAACTACTCCATCAGGGAGGGAAAGTTCTCCGGTAACCTAGTAGATTTTCCAAGAACTGTGAGACTAGTCCTTCATCATTAGGGTCCCACACAGTCTGTCCCAGGACCTGGCTGGGCCACTCACTGTGCTGGGCTGTGGAAATGGCGGCTGTGACCAGGGCAGGTGCAGCCCCTGCCTCCATGAAGGTCTCATCGTAGTGGGAGGGAAGTGGGCATTAAATAGTTATCTGCATAATTAATTATATCATCAAAACTGCAATAAGTGACACGAAGGAGAAGTAGAGGGCACCAAGAGAGTGTTAATCCATAAAACCACCACCACGGGTGCCCCAAACCCAGAAACAGCTGAAGCTGCTTCAGAGCACCAGGAGAGAGAGCTCTGAGGCACTGTTGCGAAGTCCCACTAAGGAAAGCTGGGACCCAGAGTTTCCTATAGAAACTTGAGACCTTAATCAAGTTTGCTCACTTCGGAGAAGCCTCCCAAGCCCGCAGGCTGGCTGAGATGCCCCTCGCACATCACTCAAAGAGCCCTTTGCAAATACCACTTTTAGGGCACCTGGATGGCTCTGTCTCAATTATTATTTTATTTGTCTGCAGCGCCACATACCTTGAACACAAGATTTTGCCTAGTGCCGTTTATAATGCAGTGTAATACAGTATCTAGCACATTAGGTGCTAAACACTTGATGAATAAGTGAATGAATGTGGCCCCATGGAGCTCCTGATGGCTCCTGAAAGAACTGTGACCAAGATGCCATGGCCCAAAGAGCATTTCATCTTCCATGCTCACACCGCAAGCCAAGCCTCTGTTCTACTCATGGCTTCTCACAAAACAATTTGATCCTTCTTTCCCCAAAATACTAAGTTCCCTTGATTTCCTCAAGTTAAATATTGGTTTCCTTTGTGCTTTTTTTCAACCAGTTTATTAAGCAATTATTGTATGCCAGGCACTCTTCTCAGTGCTGGGGTATAAAAGAGAATGAGATAGGTACAAACTCCCTGGTCTCATGGTTTGATGTCTCCCAACAGACATCAGGAAAGTAAGCAAATAAATAAGATAATTTCGGATAGTGGTAACCTCTGAAAAAGATAAACAGAGTAATGTCTACCTGATTTCAAGAATTACAAGAAAGCTCCAGTAATCACGGCAGTGCAGTACTGATGAATGGATGGCATGTAGATGAATGGAAAGAAATAGAGATCAGAAACGGACCCAAACGTATATGTCGATCGATTTTCAACAAAGTTTCAAAGGCAACTCAATGGAGAAGTGATAGTCTTTCAAAAGTGGTGCTGGAATGATTGGATGTCAGTGCCATTTAAAAAGAAATAGAGATCAGAAACGGACCCAAACGTATATGTCGATCGATTTTCAACAAAGTTTCAAAGGCAACTCAATGGAGAAGTGATAGTCTTTCAAAAGTGGTGCTGGAATGATTGGATGTCAGTATGCCATTTAAAAAAAAAAAAAAAACAAACTTCCTCCCATATCTCACACCATCTCTAAAAATTAACTCAGAAGGGATCAAAAGGGATCATAGATTAAAATGTAAAGCATAGAAGAAAATTTTTGTGACCTTGGATTAGACAGTAATTTCATAGATACGGCACCAGAAACAATTCATGAAAAGAAAAAAATGATAAACTGTCCTTTATCGAAATTAAAAATGAATGAAAAGTCACAAACTGGGTGAAAATATTTGGAAATCATATATCTGGAAAAAAAACCAGTATCCAGAATATAAAAAGAAGGTGTGATGCAATATTCTCAAAAATAATAAGAAAAATATTAAGAAAATAATGATTTTTTTAAAGAGCAAAAGATTTGAACAGATACTTTATCCAAGAAGGTATAATAGCAAATAAGCACATGAAAAGATGGTCAACATCATTAGTCCTTAGGGAAAATGCACATTATAACCATAATGACATATCATTACACACCTATTACAACGACTAAAATAAAAATCCTGACAATACCAAGTGCTGAGGAATACGTGGAGCTCCTGGAACTCTCATTCATTGCCGGTGGGAATACAAAATGGTACAGCCACTTTGGAAAACAGTTGAATAGCTTCTTCTGTCATTAAAAATTCACTTACCATGTCACCCAGCAATCCCACTCCTGGGTGTTTACACAAGCGAAATGAAAACTATATTTGAATGTTTATTGTATCTTTATTTATAATCACAAAAAATTGGAAATAGATGGAATGTCTTTCAAATGGAGAATGAATAACATCCATACAATGGAATAATTTTCAGCAGTCAAAAGAAATGTAGTAGTGATACATGTAGTAATACAGCTGAATCTCAACTACATTATGCTAAGTGAAAAAAAGCCAGACCTAAAAGGCTACATACTATGTGACTCCATTTCTATGACATTCTGGCAAAGGGAACACTGTAGATACAGGAAACAGATCAGAGCTGGGGTTGGGAGAGGGTTGACTATAAAGGGGGTATGGGAACATGGTGCAGGGCGATGGAATTTTTCTAGATCTTGATTGTAATCGTGGCAGTATGTCTTTATGTGTTTGTCAAAACTTGCAGACCTGGACACTAAAAAGGGTGAACTTTATCTAGAAAAATACTTTAATTATATAAAAACTTACAAGAATGAAAAAGGGATAGAAGAAAGCAAATGAACAGAGTGATGTGCTGG